ACGCCAAGCTGCGCCTGGAGGTCAACATGCAGGCCCTCAAGGCCCAGTTCGAGAGGGACCTCCAGGGAAGAGATGAGATGGGAGAGGAGAAGAAGAGACAGCTTGTCAAGCAGGTAAAGAGTCGTAAAACATCTTGTCCTCCAAATGAAAGTACGTGATCTGATCCACCATTAGAGTGTGTAATCTATGCAACGATGCATGCTGACTGCAGGTCCGTGAGCTGGAGACAGAGTTGGAGGATGAACGTAAGCAGAGGGCCCTGGCGGCAGCAGCCAAGAAGAAGCTGGAGACGGACATGAAAGATCTGGAGGGACAGATCGAGACGGCCAGTAAGGGACGAGATGAGGCCATCAAACAGCTCCGCAAGCTCCAGGTGAGAGTGAAGGGATGAACTGCTTCAGGGGGTGCGGGGGGGGGGGGGGTGTATGTGATTATTTTATTCTACTACTACAACTACTACTACTGCTGCAACCATGAAATGTCAAAGCTTGGAAATTCTGGCATCATTGATGTTTCCATATTTTCCAGTGGTGCCTGATACTTACTGTATGACTTTTGACTTTGCACTGCATCAGCAATCCGGACAAAGCTCTGGCTAGTATTGTAAAAAATACCTGGTAAAGAAATAACATTGTGACGCTCTCCTTTATTGCTGTCTCCTTTTTTGTTTCTCTTCCTCCCACCAGGCCCAGATGAAGGACTACCAGAGGGAGCTGGAAGACGCCCGCGCTGCCAGAGAGGAGGTGTTGACTACCGCAAAGGAGAGTGAGAAGAAGGCCAAGGGTCTGGAGGCTGAGCTCATGCAGCTACAGGAGGTAACACATTAGATTTCTAACAACAAGACTGTAAATTATTCAAGAGCAGAGGCTTGAAATAAAGGATTCGTGTCTAATATGTTTCTAGGACCTGGCTGCAGCTGAGAGGGCACGGAAACAGGCTGAGGCTGAGAGAGACGAACTGTCTGATGAGCTGGCCAGCAACTCCTCTGGAAAGTGGGTGGAGATTTAATTTCTCTGTTGCTTTGTCTGGGAAATGATTGCAGAGGCGAAATGATGGTGACATTTGTTTTCTGCTGTGCTCCTTGTGCACAGGTCTGCCCTGGCAGATGAGAAACGTCGCCTGGAAGCAAAGATCTCCCAGCTAGAGGAGGAGCTGGAGGAGGAGCAGAGCAACATGGAGATCCTCAACGACAGGCTGAGGAAGAGCACGCAGCAGGTGACCGGACAGTAGCAGCTACTTGAGTCATAAAAGGGCTCAACATCACAGAGGCCTCATCCCTGTCTTTGTGTGCATTCCCCCCGCAGGTGGATCAGCTCAACAACGAGCTGCAGACAGAGCGCACCACCTCCCAGAAGAACGAGAGCGCTCGGCAGCAGATGGAGCGCCAGAACAAGGAGCTCAAGGCCAAGCTTCAGGAGATGGAGAACCAGGTCAAGTCCAAGTTCAAGTCCTCCATCACGGCCTTGGAGGCTAAAGTGGCACAGCTGGAGGAGCAGCTGGAGCAGGAGAACAGGTCGGGGTCAAAGTCAAAGATGTCTGACAAAACTGTTTTTCACATGATTTCTGTCATTACACCGATGACATTAAGCCATAGCCAAGGGGACATATCCGTCTAAAACTTTTCAGAGAATCAAAGAATTCATTATTAAACTTCATGGTTCACTTTAAAGCTGGGGCAAGCAGATATCTGGAAACGCAAAACAAATAAAATACACCCTCCTCTTCCCTCTTCCCTAAGCCTCTCCCACCAGAAAACCATGGCCATATGCACACTCTTCATACTGTAACCAAGTGTTTTCCATTACAGTGATTTATTTACTCCTATTTTATTGTACAGTTGCACACAGCTCAATCCCTCAGCCCCTCCTTGTCCTGCTCTCTCTTTGTTTATCTGACCACAAATACCGTAAGATTACAATTAGCTAGCTAACCACCCCACAGTCCCTTTGCCTCGCTCCCTGCCTCTTTGGACTGCTTCGCCTGGAGGAGAGCAGGCAGCAGCTTGGGAGATGGACCTTAAATCGGTGGCTGTATCAGATTGAATTCGGCCAGTGCAAACCCCCTCACTGCCAGGTGTGACAGCGGGCAGATCGCCAGTGGCAGCATCAGGTCTAACTTACGTAACAGCAGCAACAGAAAGTTTGCCTACTTAACTACTTAAACTATTGGCAACATCTTCTTTCCAACTCTAAATGTATCACCTATACTGGCAGGTGTTTTATTTCTTTTTTTGTTAGACTCTCTTTGATAGGTCTGTCTTCTTTTTCTGGGTTACTTTGCAGTGTAGGCAGCTGTTGGCAATGCTAGAATAGAAACTTTCTCTCCACCATTGAATCAAGCTTTTACCAAAGCAACATGCATACTCATCTGCATTTGTAGAGCCCCCAGTAGGAACACCCTCTCTCGGAAATGACCTGTGATTGGCCAAAGTCTCCCGTCATGAGATAGATTTTCTGAAGCCTAAAAGCAGAGAGATGTCCAATATGCTCAAAGTTTTTTTGCCCAATGACACTAAAATTAAACTGCTTACCCCAGCTTTAAACAAGTTGTTCTTTCCAGTTCCAATATTAGCTTTGGTGTCTGTTTTTCACCTGGGCAAGATTTCTACATTTACATCAGCGATACTCATGCTCCTCTCTAAACTCTTTGTCCTCTCTCAGAGAGAAGCAGGCATCTGCCAAGAGCATACGCCAGAAGGACAAGAAGCTGAAGGACCTGATGATGCAGGTGGAAGACGAAAGGAAACAGAGCGAGCAGTACAAAGATCAGGTACGATCACTTAATGCACCCATGCTCAAACACAAGGCTGCACATTTTTGTGAGTAGATGGGTATTATGAGTCAGGAATGGTTAGTTGGGATGGCCTATCAATAGCATACTAAATGTGCACATTTCCTTTGTTCACTCACCAGGCGGAGAAGTCGAATACCCGCATGAAGCAGCTGAAGCGGCAGCTAGAGGAGTCGGAGGAGGAGTCTCAGCGCGCTACAGCTGCCCGCAGGAAGCTGCAGCGGGAGCTGGATGAAGCCACCGAGGCCAACGATGCCATGAGCCGCGAGGTCAACTCTCTGAAGAGCAAACTCAGGTAGGACGAAGTGACAAAGAGTCTGTCAGTTTGTCTTCTCGGCTAGGCAGAGCCCATTTGTTTCCTCCTGTGTGTTGTTAAGCTGTAAAATGAGAAAGTTTGCTCCGGCTGGTGGGCGGCATTTTATTTTCAACTCACCTGTTTTCAACATTGCAGCTGGGTCACAAACATTCTCATATTACAGCTAAACAGTACACTACAGTTTGTTTCTTATAACATTTGAGGTGAGAAAAAGGCAATACAGCAACAGAGTCTTGATTCATATTCAATCAGCGCTGACTAGTTTGACCACAGTTTCCGAGAAGTGATTGATATGACTGACACAAACGAGACTTCTTGGCTCTAATTGTTGTTTTGTTCACATGCGTTAATGCTTTTTTAAGTGCTATAAGGAAGCAGAGAATGCAGATGATTTAATTCACAGATTATCTGTCCTCTGTAATAATGTGTAGATCGTGAGTTTTAGCAAATATGACACAAAGTTTTATAGGTTACCAGCTTGAGTTTTACCTGTTTCCTGTTCCTCGCCAACATTTAAGTGCTAAAGAGCACATTGTCACTACAGTCATCTTCAGGGGGTTTAAACATGCATTTAAAGCATTAAAACTTGTGTAGGATTTAGTAGAGAAGTTTGCTCAGTGAGGAGCACAAACAAAACAATGGTGTCCATCTCTATTCCAGAGGCAACCCTGAACCCAAGGAGTAACACAGCAGGTACCTCTGCGCCTAAAAGTTACCCCGTCACCATTTCCTTATCAACTACCATAACTTTTCTTTCCCCAGTGCACACTCTTAATGCTGTCATTCCTTTCATTTGGCCTTACTGACAGAAATATGGCTCATCAGCTACCTTAGGAAAAACTAAAAATTTTAGGAGAGCTCCCCATTACACCCATCTCCAACTGGTGGCCATATTTTTCTCAGTGCTTGGTTTAATTGCCATAAACCAAACTCATTCTCCTGAGCCAGGAGTCATATGAGTTACAAAGATAACCAGCGTGCTTAACCTGTAACCAAAGCACAACCTGTATATTCTGTATTCCATCAACACCCGAGTGGTTTTCATATAATCCTTAAACCATCTGCTGTCCTATAACCACTCCTCTCACTGCCGGGATTTGTTTCTGTGTTTGTATCTCTGTCTCGCGTCTGTCTTTGTGGTGTTTTAGGCGCGGAAACGAGCCCTCCTTCAGCAGCGCACCTCGGCGTATGGGCGGAGGCCGAAGGGTGGTGGAGGATGCCTCAGAGGAGGAGGGCGACTCCCAAGGCGACTTCAATGGAACCAAGTCTGCGGATTAAGGGATGTCCAATAATCAGAGTTAACTACCAGGGCACGGTCTGCCACTTTAACAGAGAATAACTTCAATGCCTGTTATGCTATCTAGTTCTTCTGTATCTGTATCACTTCAAATTATATATTTTCTCCAACTTCCAATAGTGTACTGATCTGTCGTCTTGTTTCAGAGCACCTTTTCTTAACACGCAATAATCAGAAGGACTTGATATCAGCGAGGGAGGTTGTTCTGGTGGCTCTGCTGTTGTGTGATGTGCTGTTCCTTTTTTTATTTTTTAACAACACTGTTTTGTACTGCACTGAATGACTGATTCCTTCTGATGCAAGGTTTCGTACACAAACATAGGTGCCTCTAATTACCACGCTAACCTGCCAGCAAAGCCTCGGGTCTCCACAATAAGTCACTTTAAAGCAGAGACATGTAAATCTGTGGATCTGTAACTATTATCAGCGACTGTTGTCCTGTTGCCTGTGACTGCTGTTAGTGTTTCAGAGCAGCACTGACGTGGTTTAACAGACTGGATAGAGATTTCTATGCTCACTCTGCACCCGTCAGTGCTGCTGATTGTACCCCAACAAATATTTAGCTGTTAGACATTTTCTAAAGCCACCTTTTTTTTATTATTTGCACCTTTCTTGTGCCCAGATATGTTTAGATTGCTTTTACTCAATAAGGTTTAGGGTTAACTATAAAATCAAGACCCAGACTTCAGTATTGGACATCTTAATTTTGTATTTCTTCCCCTTTTTGTCCTGATTTACTGTACATGTTTAAAAAGATCACCCTAAACCAACTCATCCTCATTTGATCATGTTATATGTAACCAACTGATGTTTACATGACACAAATTGTATTGTATTACTGTTGAACCACCTGCACAAGAAATAAAGACCTTTAAAAAAAAAATTTTTTTTTTCCTTTTAATGTTTCCATCTTGGTCAGTAACGTCAAAGATCATCATGACATTATTCCCATCTCATCAGTTCAATAGAAAAACAAATCAACAGGATCAGAGTTGGGTATAGTACCTCAGGCACATACAGTTTTAAGTCCAAATACAGAAGCAGTTGCAGAGGTGCTGTATACGAACACCCAGTACACAGTGGTCATGGATTACAATTACAGTTAGCTCATGTTAGTTTAAAGGAGGTTAAACAGCAAAGAGGAGCAGGTTATCCAGTTCTTACATGTATTAACCACAACTCTACACACAGGCTACACTGCAGTATACAGTGATGATGTGATATTAGATATGTACTGTAGTATTTGCCTAAAGGGATCGTTTGGATTTTCTTGAAGTGGGGTTGTGCGAGATGCTTATCCATAGTCAGTGTATTGCATTAGTAGATGTCAGTCGGAGTAACAACACTGAAGCTAGGCAATTTACTGCTGTAGATAAGAGGTAGCAGCAAACTATATTTTAGCCACTACTCAAATCTGTCAGTGTCAGTTAGAGGACTGCATTGGGATTGGATCAACACAAATCTTGCAGGAATGGCAGTCAAAAATAAACCGCAGGTCCTGCAATTTGTTGGAATTTGAATTTGTTCATAAGGTCTATCTTTTTCGAGGCCCTTTCTGTCATTTGAAGTGTGCATAAGAGCGTGCAGGCTCACTGGCCAATCACAACCAAGTTAGGTAAACTTATTTACCTTAAAACATGCCACAAAACATGAAGGTGCAGACACTGCGGGTCTACCGGTGCTTTGCTAAGTTAATTAGTTTGCATTATTGTGTGACTTTGGTGAACCCAAACTGTTCCTCTTTGACACCAAGGTCACGTAATAACACAAACTAATTGATGGAGGCAGCAGCGGACCAGAAGCTCCTGTGTACAGCGATGTTAAAGCACCGTTTTTCAAAAAGGAGTCTGGCTTTGAAGAGAGCGACACAACAGCTTCAGTTGCCTGTCTCAAATCACTCTCTGACGCTACGGTAAAGAACTGAAAATACTCTCAATATAATGACACTTTAAGTGATACTGATTATTTTAGGTAGCTAAAATATGTTTTGCTGCTGACCCCTCCATAGTAGTGCACTGCTTAGCTTCCTTGTCGGTACTCCTGACACTTGTCCAAACTGAGGGCCGACTGACATCTACTGTAAGTAATACACTGACTATGGATAGGTACCTCACACAACCCCACTTCAAAAAATCCAAATTACTATTAATGAGCTGCTGGATGGCAGTAGTGACAGAATAACCACAAACATTTAAGGGAAAAGCAGAAATGTCACATTAAATCTGTTAACCACTCTTACTTCTCCATTCACAATATCTCTTACTAAAAGGCAGGAAAAGGACACTCAATATAGGCTCTATATATACCTACACAAATATACTATGAACTGTGCTTATCTTTGACCTGTTCAAATCTATTATTGCTTAATATCTTTCCTCATTCGCCCACCATATAGCTCCTGATGGCAGACAGGAGGTCTCACACCTATTAGAGAATTATTAATATACATTCAGTAGTGAACATGTGCCGCTCTAACTTCTACAGTCAACTTAAATCAGTACAAAAGTTATTGGTGACACTAGATCATAAATCTGCAGAAAACCTGTTCTTATACTTCACATTCATAAGTCTTGCATACTAGAAAATAATGAGCCGGCTAAACAAGCCTGCGCAATGGCAGGAAGGAGGTGAAACAATGAACCTGGGTCAAACTGATACTTTGTGAGATTAAACTAGCCTGAAGGGAAGTGACCATATCTCATTCCTAGACACCTGCAGCATGAGGAATAGACGACCCACTTCATCTATCTGAGCGATGACAGCAAAGCAAGGCTTACAAACTGAAGAGGTAATAACATTGATGAAGGCAGCGATGGCTAAAATGCTAACACTAGTTTCCTGGCAGCGACTGATCCATTTTCAACTATAAGTTTTTGCAGCTGTGGACAACATTAAGTCTCTCATAGAAAACAAATATTAAGAGCTCAGCTTGGAGAAGTGATTTTAACCATCTGTTTCAGACATATAGCTGCAGCCTCATTCCCTTCGGAGCCTACACGACACACCCCTGCAAACCGCGCCCACCACCAGTACAAAACAAACCCACCAACGCAACACTTATTTGAGCCCTGCTACAACACCACTTTGTAGTGAATAGATTAGGCCAAACACAGCAATAATCCACTTTAGAATTCATTACACATGAAGACATGAGTCACCCTGTAAGTAATGAGACGTAACCCTTACCCTTACCATAACCGTCTCTCTTTTAAACCAACACTTCATAACCTGCTAAACAGTAACTTAGCATTTTCTTCAGGGCTTCTGCTTCACAACCAAGGATTGAAGGGGTTGACCGCGGACTGACATGCGAGTATGGCGGGTGAGTCATGTAACTGGTGGGCGTGTCACGCAGCTGCTCCAGCCTCAGCTATACCTACTCATCCTTTCATCTGCCAATATCTAGCTCCTCCACAACAGAAGTTAATTCATACCAGTGTTGTTCAGTGCTACATTACTTGAGCCCATAGCTTAAAGAAGAAAAAAAACACAAAAACTGACTTTGTTATTGAAATGAATTAAGTTTAACCATGTTTTTTTTATATCAGCCTTAAAGAGAAAAAACGCTAACCTATAACTTTTATGTCTGAGCAGTGACTACATTTACATGCACAAAATATTCCATTCTTTTCCCCCTACTCCAAAAAAGACAATATTCCTACTAAGCCATTTACATGGCTATTAACAATTAATATTCCACTAATGTTACTGGCAGCCATGTATACGCAGATTAACTTGCCTTAACATATCTTTTATGACATCAAAATATGCAGCTGTCACTCGTGCCAGTATTTTTTTCAAAGTTTTCTGCCAGTGGCTGACTTGTTTGACCATGTGAACACAGCCTCTCTATCATAACTTGAATGACCTTCTTAAAAGGGTCAGCGCTGTGATATTTGCACATATCAGAAAAACATGCTGATATCCAAATTTTCCATAAAGTTTAAAATTAGGTGTGTCTCTTCTTACGACCAGAAATGCTAGCCTTCCTTTAGGGTATACATCTCTACTCCAGCCTTGCAAACTGTTGGAGAGTTGGTTTGTGTACAATGCATACATAACAACACACAAGGCCGACTGAAAACAGGCAAGAGGCTGTGTGACGCAAACTGCGGTAAAAACCACAGTTCAGATGCACATTCCAGAATGTTCCTAAAACCCAAATAATACCATCATATCTCACGTCTTAATCAGAAAATGCATCCTTCAGGGAAAAAAAAAAGCCTTAATCAGAATGTTGTCACATTTGGAACATTAGTGGAATATTAGTGTGCATGTAAATATACCCAGTTTTTCATTTATCACAGCTTTAGTTTGGATTTGGTCATAAACAATATTTGTATGATCGAACCTTTGTATAAATGATACTCCAGGTTCTTGGTCCCTCTATCAGGGTCACACCCAGTGGCTGTTTTTGATACCTCTGGTCCTTATTTGGGTCCCTATTTCATGATCAACGAACAAGAACAGCAACCAGCCTAAATGTGTCCTCTGGGAGCAGTAATGTATCGACAGCCCTGTTGTGCTTGATCCACCACAGAAAGCAAATCAGTTGACACAGACGGATCTTTTCGATGCTACTCACCACAGTGTCAAAGATACATTAGAAGATATAGTATGAGCAGAAGAATCCCCGCTCCTTGATGTTACACAAGCTGTAGTGCTGCTTGCTATGATAGATATGCTGTTATACTAGCCTGAGGCAGAAGTCCATGCGCTGATAATGTGGGGCACGGAGCGAGGAGAGTGGCTTTCTTGTTCAAAATAGTTCAGCAGGGCACGTGGCGACAAGGAAGACAGTTCAGTTCAAAGTCCCATTGCTGTGGTTTATTAAGGATGGAGAGGGGATGGGTGGAGGGGGTCAGGTTATTGAAGGAGGGAGGTGGTTCGACCTTTTCTCTCTCATAGCAGAATCTTGACCCCTCCCTGTGGGGACTGGGGACCCTGGGAGACGCCTCTCGGAGGAGCTGGTCCAAACTCTAACCGCTTCACTAAACTGCAAAACAAAACATGGTAAACTCAAAAACCTCAGATAAAACTAAGAAAACACTTTTTATTCCCAATATTTTTTGGCTTTACAGACATAAATTAATACAATACTGCAAAATGTTAGTTTACATTATGACATCAATAGTGCAGCATATGTTAGAGGACAAGTAAGATACTCCTTAACCAGAAAAACTGGCTTCTATATAATAATTGATAGAACCTCAAGAACAAGACTTTCCAGCCGTTGACCTTGAGAGTGAGCTGCTGCTGTTTTCCTCACCTGTCGTACTGAGGAGGGGGGCTCATGCTGCTAGCTTGCACCTCAGGGCCTCCCTCTAAACCAGTAGGACTACCAGGGCCAGCCGGGAGTGCTGGTCTGCTGACAGAGGTGTCGTACACAAAGTCTCGACAGGATGCCAACTTTGACTCCAGATTCTGGTGGGATGTTAAAAAATTGTCAGTCCTTGTAGTGATTTTGTAAAACATGAATTCACTGTGTACTGCTATGGTATAATTTAAAATCTCTTACTCCAACTTTTCTCAGAAGCTCCCCTACAATGTTGAGTGCAGATATTCTAGCAGACGTCGTGAGGGGAGTCCCTGTTAGACCGTCACCTAAAACAAAACAGATATGAGCAGGTGAACACATAATATGTTTATACAAAGGTGGTATGATCACTATCACTGTGGTTATCACTGCAGTCAAAGTTTTTCAATTTACCTCGTCGAATACTGGAGGCAGGGGGAGTGGCAAATGAGCTGAGAGGTTTGGAGGGTGTGATGGGGATGGATGGGTTACCAGCTGAGGGGCACGGCAGATCTGCCCGATCTGTGTCTTTGCCCAGGCTGCTGGATGGTCGTCTTTCCTTCTGACGTACAGCCAGCTCGTGGCGAAGGTCTGACACAAACAGGACACACAGTGAGCCAATGTTTTGTAACTGACAAAGATTGCAGTAATGGAAATATCACTTTCCATTGCGTTCCATAGAGTAAGCTTGGGCAGTATATCGCGCTATTGCTGTGTACCAGGGTATTTAGAAATAGTGACGATATATTTTTCAGTACCATCACAAATATCGACGCTCCTTTTATATTTAATCTCATTCTGAGACGCTGTGTTGAGAATGTATTGTATGTAGCCAAATCACGTTCAACCAGAGGTCAGTCTCTACTGGTGAAACAGGCAGCTGAGCTGGGAAACATGGTGACTGCTAGAGTGAAGATAATGTTACAGGACTGTAAACAGCCAGCCAGCAACATGAGACCGCAGCGAAAACAGCACATTTTCACATCTGACTGTGAATTTATGGTTTATTTTGACAACACTAGAGGTGTAGGTAGCGCTGCACACAAATACCTTCTCATACCATATACCCCGGTGAAATTTCAGGAAGGTTTGAAAAAATAAATACCACCTAAGCCTACCATATTGTTAATAAATATTAATTAAATTACAGAGACTTGACACTACCCTAATCCTTGAAGTCTCATCAGTCGTCTGGTAATTATGTGCATACTTTTAAGAAACATGTAATCTGAACTAAAAACTGCATTTCAACCAACAAACCAACAATTTTCATGCTAGTGTGAATCTGATTATCCTCAAATGCTTGAAATACAAATTAAGTTAAAAATATGTCAAATACAAAACTGCCAATGACACAGTATAGATTTGCATTCGTTTGCTTTACCCTAGCATCGTCAGCCTGTGGACTTGTGTTTTCCTTGTGGAAGATGAAAGAAAAACAAAGGCAAAAAATATGAGTCAGCTCCCGTCCCTGACTCTCTCTGCCACAAATTCAACATACTCAATCATTTGGTAAGTATTTCAAAAGCTCAAAACATGAAAAAACACAGGAATAGCCCTTAAAAGTCTAATTTGTAGCATCTAGCAGTGAGGTTGCAGAACTGAAACTTCTCCCGTGTGGCAAGCGTGTAGTACAACTGTACAACTACAGTGGCCAATGCAAAAACACAAATGGGAAGAGCATTGTGAAAAATTAGCGGACTCCCTGGAAGAGGACACATTCCACATGTAGATGTAAACTGCTTATTGTAAAGTAATGATAACACAACGATTCTTAAGTTTCCGGTGATCACAATGAAAACATAGTTATGAATATTATTCCTGTCAATATATTCCACTAAATCCTGCACACTGGACCTTTAATATCCTTCTGATGAGGGTAAATGTATAATAGAATACAGCTACACATGAGATCAGATACAGGCTAAACTGGAAAAAGAGACAGGACATAAATACACAAAGAATTTGGAGAATTGATCAGCTATCAAAATTCGCTGAAGTGTCAGTTTGTAGAGGAATCAGCAGTTCTTGTGAACTTGAGAAGCTGCAGTGTGTGTTTGTGTGTGTATACCTCTGGCTTCATCCTTCAGCCTCTGGACAGACTCAAGCAGGTTCTCTTTCTCATCCAACTCGCTCTCAAGAAAGGCATTCCTCTCAATGACATGGTTCATCCGCTGCTCAAAGTCCTCCAGTGACATGATGGTAGCCCTGGCACCAGCACAGAGGATGAGCAAATAAATGTTCATACTTGATTAACTGTGCATATCGGTCCTGTGTGCTACAGTCTGAGTCTGACTCTGTGTGTATAATAACAACCTAGCCAGTTAGCTGGGCACTGACCTTTTGGTCCTCTCCAGGTCATCATTGGACTGCTCTAGCTCCCTGATGTATTTCTGCAGGTGATCTCTCACTGCTTTGGTTTGTGCAAGTTCTTCCTCCATGGCTGAGATGTGCCTAAAAGTATCGGAATGCTGAGTCTCGAATTTCTCCTGAAAACAGCACACAGACATCAAATTAATTGTCAATGACAATGCCAACTTTCCAGTGTCGTGGCTGATTCATCAACGCAGCTGCCAACATATTACAACATGAGGTTCTGTGTATTTTTTGGACATCAGCTGAGACAACAAATCACTTTTAATGTTCTTTCTCCTCCCTTTTTCCAATCATCTTTGAGCAATCAGGGGTGTTTTATCACAATCCTGCATTCCCTTCCTCCATTAATTTCCTCTTCCCCATGGACCGCCGAACAAAAATAGCAGTCAGCTGCCTTATAGCTAGGCAGCAATTTTCCTAGTGGCAGTGGTGATGATATGCTGAATTTGGGTTAGCTAAAGGCTGTCTGTGGTGTGGGTGTGTCTCCGTTCACTTGACACTAACTAGGGCACCAGAGGTTGTGCAGCTCTGAAGGGACAGAGGCCTATTTATAATCAAGGTGCTCTACCTTTATGTTTTCCAGCTCAGTGCGGAGTCGGTTGTTGTCTAAACGCAGCTCTTTGTTTCGACCCTCGCACTGCTTCAGCTCTGTTTCCAGTTCTGCTTCATAGTCTCGACTCATCTGCTGAAACTCCTGCAGCTCCTCCTGAGCCACATCAGCCCTGATGACAACACAATGTTAACCACCAAATATGACTCATTCATCGTGTTGTCTAATATGTGTATATCTATAATGCATGATTATCATTTAAGTTAGCAATTAAATCTTCTCTGAGTAGTGTTTACTGTCTGTTGGTGTTACCTTAGCTGATGTGCCTCTGCCTGCTCCTTCCAGAAGCTCAGCTCCTCTTCAAGGGATGTAAACTTGTGTGTTGTTGGCTCTACCATGTCTGCTGCGTTGTTTCAGGATGATGGGGATGGGAGGCCTAACTGTAAAGTAAAACAACAGACTTCAATAATCTCGTTATCTGTCATGAGAGCACAGACATCCCAATCATTCAAACCACACCACTGCTACGGCTAGCAAACGCTAACAAGGTTAACAACCGCCAGTCTACAGCGCTACATATGTTGACATACAAAAGCCAGAAAATTAAAAACTACAGAACTATATTTTCGCATTTATTTCTATCATATACGAATACGCAAGGAAGGGAACTACGTGCCTACTACATACTTTTCGCAGCCAACAGCAGTGTTGAAAAGTGCATACACTACAGCTAAGCTGTTCGGCTAAGCTAACATAGCTAAGTTAGCTAACCGACTTGTAGCTAGTCAGAATGTGTTACAAGCCAACACAGTGAAAAAATTCAGCTAGACAGACTCACCCGCGTATAAGGGAACGATTAAAACATGCTAAAGTTTTGGGAATGCATTTAGATATACGACTAAATTTCGGGACTTGGGCAACAACAAACGTATTGTGAAACTAATCTCTCATTACGTTAAGTCGGTGTTCGTCTCACCAATCAAATATAAACGAAGCGTCGGTTCTCGGATCCCATTGGACAACAATGATGACGTAGAAAACATTTTAACCAATCATATTATTCAACGAACTTGTCGCCGCGGGAGGTGGAGCCCAGGAGTCAAAATGGTTATATCGCCCCCTGTTGACCTGATGGTGCAACAACATCAAAGAAGTAAAGTCTAGTAAAATTTTGTTTTTGACTTCTATTGTCATTTTGTATGGTGTTTCTAATGTTTCTCAAATATTATTAACATATGAGAAGGACATTAACCTGTCTTTGTAGTTGTGTATATTGTATATAGTTCTTTTTTTTTAAATTCAAGTCAGTAAACTTTACAAGTGACAACAATTTACTAATACAAAATTATAGACATACATTTTAAAGATGAATAAATAAATAACTTGCAGCTAGTTTTAAATTTTGCTCCTTACTGTTACCCAGTTTTTAAGTTTTATTTTATTTAACACTTGCTATACATTTGATTTTTCTACTATGTTGTTTTAATCCCTGTATATTGCACTCTTTGTATCTGCACACCTCCAGCATTGTATTGCAACTGCTGCATGGCAATTTCCTTCAGGATAAATAAAGGTCTGTCTTATTTTATCTCATCTGGTCATTTCTGGTCACAGTTATTTCCATAATCAGTATCTTTGACATGGAGTAAAACGGAATTTACTCACATCTGATTTGTCTGTACTTAGCAAATAATATAATAACTGAGAGCAACATTATTTAATTGTACAAGGCCCCTGAAAGCTTGAGAGATTTTCCCTTTTACAACAACTGATACTGACACTTTATTCCCCCAAAGAATATTAATTCATTGTTCATGTAAAATGCACAGGTCTCAGGGTTTTGTTTTACTTTCAGCATATACAGTATATCAGCTGCTGTCAACAGCACATTAATGCACAACTAATCACACACTTTACAGTCCAGACAAAGCAGCTCCAGTGGCTCTTATAATACTTTACAATTCATGTTCATTTTATGCTTGCTTAACTTTGGATGGACAAACTTTCATAAACTGCCACCACACTCTCATCGTATTACCCCACCTCAACTACAAATACATTGAAAACCCTGCGTTCAAACACTCATTATAAGATTAAGGGCAGGATGTGGGCTAATGTACAGATTTCCATCCAAGGAACATGGCTTATGTTATATGTTATAAATGAAAGGCATTTAAGATCCTGAGAAAAGAGTGTATCAAAGAATAAAATAGAAACACTGGATTTCATTTTAGACAAAAAGTAGTGGAAGTATTCACATTAAGACATCAGAGAGGTAAACTATCTGTTGGCCAATCTGCAGAATGACTCTGTTTTTGATCACACTGCTGTAGGTCAATACAGCACCAGAAATCCAGATAAATGTAAGTCCACAGGTTTTTCCTCACAGTTCTTCCATCACATTAGGTCTTATCCTCTTCAGGTCGATCATTCAGGAACAAAGCAGAAAGATCTGAAGGAAAATAAAACCTGTTCAAGGTTAAATGCACCACATAATCAGTTAACTTCACTACAGTTACACAGCTACCATTAGAGGATTGAATGTTCTTCCTTACCCCAGAGGAATCATTCTTCAGCTTTATTAGTTTCTTTGATGCTCTGGCGTGAGCACGTCTTTTTACTGTCTAACACGTCAGTCTTCACCTGACCCAGAGTTCGCAGTAGGCACATGGTGTCAAACCCCTCATCACCAGCCTCTTGCAGCAACTCAAGCACCTATAAATAAGACAGGTTACTTCAGGGGACGTATTCTAACCACAGTATTGGACATATGGTATCTGCGCTGGCACCCACCTGCAGACACTTAAATGACTTGAGTGCGCTCAGATTCTCCTGCAGAAACAGCAAGTAGATACTGAGATCGTTGTAGAAGGGTGTATCCACACCCAAAGCACCAAAGCCAGGCAGCAGCTCGTAAGGCCGGAGGAAGCTGGAGCTCTGGCGAGCTGGTCCAAGAGTAGCGTACACCACCAGTGGAGTAATAAGCACATACACCACCAAGTTGATGTAGCTGAGCAGCCTGAAGACACCCACCGCCACCAGCTTACACTGCACTGCAGACGGCACCATGCTGTCATTCTTCAGCACCCCCGTGCGCAGGTCACAGGGAAACTCGTCAGTGAGGGAGGCCAGGCAGATGTAGTAGCCGAGGTAGATGCAGGCCAGCAGTAGTATCAGCAGAGTCAGGCCTCGACATGACAGATACTTGACTACGAGACGGTGAGATAAGCGCTTGGTCTTCAGATACTGCTCCACTAAAGGGTATTTGAAGCAACTCTCAGTCAGATCCAAGGCACTGCAGAAAAAGGCGTTAACCACAAAGAGATCTGTGCTTAGAAAACCAAATGCCATACTATTGATCTAAAATAGTAATAATACAAGTAACCTACAACAACAGGATTATCTGTGAGAAATATAACTCGAGACAGACAATTTTTTTCTTTCTTAACCATGACCAAAACATTCCCCTATGCTTATTCAATGCTGTTTTACCATAAACTCAGCCTGATATTTTTTATGTCCACAAACACAACAGATGTTTCATTCACTGACCTTAGTGACCTTCCAATAATCCAAATCAAAACCCATTTGTGTGGATTGTTTATGTAATTATGGCATCTTTCAAATTATTCTAATTTGATAATGCTGGTAAAAAAAATGTGCCATTGTTATGTATATGTCTATCTCTATTTCTATATATAATGCAGTTACATTAAAGCTGCACTCATCAATATTTTTATATAAACAATAGGTTTAATGAAGTGAAATGCAAACCGTGTCACTAATAGAGACAAAACTGCTTAGAATTATCACCCGACTCCGAGGCTGCCCTCAGCGCTATGTAGCCTGTTAGCATTTTTTAGCTCGTTGTTTTCATTTTACAACTCCCAACAGGCAGTTTGGGTTTACTGTTACCATTTTCATCAGTGTCATTTACAGATGTAGCAGCCAGCTGTTTTCAGCTTTAAGGGTAACTTTGGGATTTTTCAACCTGGATCTGATTTTCCCATATTTTTGTGTCAAAGTGACTCATGGGAACATCAATTTTTGAAATTAGTCCAATATTTAGAGTTTGCTGTGTGTATTAAAAGTACTTTTTTGCCACTTACAGGTTCAGATTGGTAGAAGTCGAAGTGTCTGACAATGTTATGGAAAGGATCCCTGGAGAGATGGTGCTTTCCGTGAAAGAGCAAGATCTTTTTTTTTTTAAACCAGAAAGAGCTATTGCCAAACCCACCAGACTCCATTTAAACTAACAGTAATTTAATCTCTGTCAAATACACTTCATTCAAAGCCAGCAGAAACAAACTAACACTCAAAAGAATGTCTTGGCTCATCTTTCTACTGTTCAAATAATCACCAGCTCTGGTTTGGTTGAGATAAACCCTTAATTCACCCAGTTAGATGTGAAAATATGCGGCCTCTATACGTGCTTAAATTGCTGTTTATTTACATGGAGTTTGGTGAGTTTAGTGATGGCGATTTCGGGGTGTTTCTGGTTAAACAAACAGATTACTCTGTGACAAACAGGTCGCCCTCTGTAGGGATCCTTTCTGTCATGTTGTCAGACTTATTATAACTATCTGAGCCTGTCAGTGGCAAAAGGAAGCACTTTTAGTCGATGTGCATGCTCTGAGTGGTTACACTGCAGCCAATTTTCAAAACTGTTGTCTCCATCAGTCACTTAGACACAAAAAAAATGGGAAAATAGGGTCCAGATTGAAGAAAACTAGAGTTACCTTAAAAGTCCTTAAAACGCCACAGTAAGCTCTCCGCCCAGCACCAAATGTGCAGACAAAGTTAGCAACTAGCAGCTGTGAATATAGTGAAGCATTTAGCAGCTGAAGAGCCAAATATTTTTCTTAGGAGTCGGTGGAGCCAAAACAGAGTAAGAAGTGTAAATATTGTCAGATGGACAGAAACTTGACTCCAGATGAAAGCTGTGTCACTCTATATCTGCTGGGTGTATAAATAGGCAACTGTTTACTGACGTGGCAATCATAATAACAACTTCATAAGACAATAATATGTCAGTGTTATGTTGACAGCTTGTTAAGTTTCCCCAAGTGGCCAAATAATCAAAAAAAAAAACTGTAATTTAAATCCTGTTAATTTTTGTTGGCAATTAGAGGTTAAAGGACAGCCCATGCTACTTTTTAATACATGTGGTCTGCCATATGTCACTTACAGCAATGACACATGCTCAGGAAACAAGACTTTAAATTGAAGCTAATGTTTAAAACAAATGTATCTTACAGCCTTATCTCCTGCTACAGAGTACACTGTGGTGAGTCATCACAAGGCGGGTACCTGTGGGTGTCCTCGGGGGCATCTTTGCTATCTATGGATGCCAGATTCTTGGCCAGCTTGATGCCCCGATTATAAAAGCGGTCCAACTCCTCCATGATGAAGTTCAGGTCAGAGGAGAGGTGCGGAGCTGCGGTGAAACGCCAGAACAGGGCCGGGATGTACATGAGGATGGCCAGTAAGAGGAGGATGTATGGGAAGAACTGAGGGCATCACAGACAGGGAGACAAAAACCATAAAAGAAGAATCAAACTTTGATTTCTGGACATCATTATTGTAACTTTAACCGAGGAAAGCATGCAGCCATCTTTTTAAAACTGTTTCCGGGGTGTCTCATTGGTCAAGGAGCTAATAAAATGAGGCATAATGATATTATCGATTGATCAATGAGCATCTATAGCTGACAATACAAAAGAAACCATAATTTCCCACAGCTTTGGATGCCTTCACTAAGTACATTTGTGGACATATGCTTGGCCATTACTCAGTCAAATTATACTGGTTATGACTTCACAGTGTTAAGACTTAAAATACAGGACTGTACCGACTGTCACTTTTTCACATTCAAAGCTTCTATTGAGCTTTTTCGAATGAAGCTTCAGATGTCTGTTTAATGATGTCATCACCCTGAGAAAAAAAATCCTTTGAACAAAATCCTCTATTTGAATAAACTCAGCTGGTACCAGAGGTTATGACATCAGAAATGTGGGACTCTTGCGTTGGACAGATGTTAAATTTTGGATCAGGTTGACAATGTTCTAAAGTTCTAACAAGATTAGAATGATACGTTATGCGGATGTTGACATTATAACATTTTGCAGTGTTTGGGTTCTGTTCTCCATACCTTATGACAAATTGTCACTATTCTGTGTCATAATGGTGTTGGCATGAGACCTTTGGAAGACAGTGGATTATGGTTACTTAACAACACAACTTTAAACGAACAAAATATCAGTGTCAATTGTCGTCTGTATTCTGACCTGTGGCTCCTGGCCGTCCTGCGCTCCAGACTTAAGCTCAGGGCTGACCGTGCCTTTGCTGTGTCTGCCCTCAAACTGTGGAACAGCATCTCCCTCCCACCATTGACTCTTTTAAGTCCAGGCTCGAAACCTACTTTTATTCTGTAGCATTTGAGTCCCCAGATGTAGTTTTCCCTGATGCATGCCCATGTGTGTTGTGTCTCAAAGTGTGTGAGCTGTGTACCTGACAGTTACGCTGCCTCTCGTGTGTGTTTTTAGCATTTTGTTCCTTTTGTACAGCCCTTTGGTCAAATTGAGTTGTTCTTAAATGTGCTTTATAAAGAAATTTGAGTTGTCCAACTGATTTTGGGTCATCCTATGTCACAACCTTAATTCAACCAAATATATAAGTGTAGCGATGTTGGTGGCCAGCTAGGAATTGATTGGTTGGATTAAAGTTTTCTTTTTTTTAAATGTAATCAACTTTCTTTGATGAATAATGTATAATGCTGTTAGACTGCCTCATTAACAAAGGTGCAAGTCTCTCGTGCCAAAATGGAGAGCAAGCAGCTTTTTGACCGCAGTGAAGATGTTGTTCTTTAGAGGCTTACAAACATATATGAATTGAAGTAGAACAGTTCATTAGATAAAAACATGTAGTGAATTTTGTTAATGATCACATCTGTCTTGTCTCATCAATTAATTTTGATTCTAAGACTTTACAACGCTCTGAAAATTTTAGTAATGTGTGGGTGACACTAGTTGGAAAAAATCATGTGCAGCCACCATTGTAATCTAATTGTACAAACAGTATTATACTAATAATGTTAGTGTAACCTAATCTGTATTTGCAGCTGTGCAGCTGCTACATCCAAATGCTGATTTGGAATTTGAATGTCAACATTATGAATAAAGCTTTGATCTATTCGGTACAGCCCTGTCCCAATAAAACACAGTCAGCAGCACTGATGATTCTCACTGGCAGTGTATGTCAGGGGGACGTCTGTACCTTGTGCAGCCATAGTGGTGAGCTGTCAGTCTGCTGCTGGACTGCTGCCCAACAAAATGAATCCACATATGCGGCCTGTCTCCAGGAGAAGTTAGTGGGAGCAAAACAGCTGATCTGGGTACCTGGGTGAGGAAAGGGAAGAATTAGTCACAGCTGACAGGCATTCTGGTGATTAAGAGAAGAGAAACAAACAACAATTGTCGGCCAACCCGCCTCTGCACTCATGGCCTAATTTGTTGGTGGGCTGTTCCCAGCATACTTAGTGTCAGTAATTATATCATCCTCTATATTGTGAGTGGGAAGTTCAGTCAGGCATGTTCAAGGCACAAATGACCCAGATAGTCACCAGACAGTAATATTTTGGCAACAAAGTCTGTCATATTAATATTACAGAATGATGCTTTGAACAAACTGAGCACATTCTCACATTTTTACATCTATGAAATATAGTACCAGTTATAACAATAATAGTATCAGTCATACCAGTCACATAAAGTCAGTCAACTTCTCATTAACTTTTGCAAGTTTTAAATGCAAAGCAAAAAATGTCCAACATATATTTTCAGCCATTCTATCATTTATATCATTTATATCTATCTGCTATCATTTAAAGAATGAAACTCACACACATACACGCACAGACACGACCAGCTGTATGTCACAGTACAGGCCCGTACTCGCCTGTTCAGAGCACATGGGCTTATTTATAGTGTTGCCATTTTAAGGAGGTATTTACACTCAGATCATAATTTGCTAGCTGTTTTTCATTGCTCAGTGCCCCGGCTAACTGAGACAGAACAGAGACATTGTTAATATTATTAGTGACACCTGTGCTGTTTTACTGACAAGTCAAAATGTCTGGTGTGAAAAGGACCTGTTGTTTTGTGTTATACTCAGATGTGTTTCTAAAACTTAATTAACCTTCACTGGTATAAGTGGGGTGAATATCATATTAGAGACACTCGTCAGAAGAAGAGGAGGAAACGTTCAATGCATGGAGTGTATGGGAATTCAGAAAAAAACAACATTGTATTACAGTAGACAGGATCCTACACTCAAAGACATTTTTCAGTCTATTTTTTAGGTTTGCATATTTATATTACAAATAAAATTTCAATCCAATTGAGTCAAGTAATTCCAACATTAACAAAAAATATCAATCCAAATAAAACTGAAACAAAAGAGGATTTATGTCAGTATATCTGATAAAATGTACCTAATTTAATAAAGTTTATGTAATTACTGTTAATAAATTTGATGTATTTCATACGCGTTGATGAACATCGACATGTTTCAAATACATAGACTAACAGTAATTACATAAACTTTACTGAACTACAAATGACTTATGAAGTTAGTGGATAATGCTTAAAATAAAGAAGTTTTTCAACATTAAAAAATATGTTGTTTCATGTTTTATTCAGTGCATTTCTTTTAAGAAATTGGTCAAAATCAACATTTTTAACATTTTTGTGTAGGATGGAATTAAAATAATCAGAATCAGCTTTATTCACCAAGTACGTGTGTACATGCAAGGAATTTGACTCCGGTAGACTTGCTCTCAAAGTACCAGAAATGATATAAGTGCACATATATAGGCAAGAAGTGGAAAATGCAGAACATACAATATGCAAAAAAACTGTACATCAAATATTAAAAAATATAAAACAAAATCATAAAAAATATTTTTAAAAAAACTGAGAAAATGAGTTAGAATATCATAAATAAAACAGTTTGACAACTAAATATCCCCACAACTTTTAGATAAATATTAAATTAGTTCAACTTAAGTTTTTCAAGGTCAAAGCAAATCGTGTTGGTCATACTAAATTAATTTCAAATTGTTAATGACTGAGTCAATATTGCCAGAGTTGGAGCTACTTAAAAAGATGTATGCAAATTGCTGACTTAATTTCTGAAATTGAACCTGTGAATTATTTTTTTAGGATGTAGAATTTATTAGTAATAGTAATTGCATAAATTTAATCAAAAATATTAGGTACATTCTATGAGCTATAGTGATAGAAATTCTCCTAATCTATTCATCTCTGCTTTAGTTGATTTAATTACATAAATGGCACTTTTTAGGGTTTATGTTTGAATAATGCGACTCTTGACTCACTGTCATGGCTTTCAGGGACACTTTAATAGAAGAGAGCCATCGTTAATGTCATTAACTGTGATTGTCCTACTATGACAAGTCAAGATGTCTGCTTTGAAAAGTCCCACATCTACATCTAATTGTCCATACTCTCTCTGCAGCTAAGTGAGTAGAATCAATGTGTGGTTTCTGCCATAATGTGCCTTCACTTTGTTAGTCTAATGTGAACTATCCACATGAACTGTGTCAAGTCATAGCAGCACATTTGTCTCAAGGCTTCCAGTGTAATGGATCCTTTCTGTCTGAGTATGTGGGACAGTGCATACAGATAATGGTAACAACAGACTGCAGCATGATGACCTAAGAAGATTACATAGATTTAAACTGCTCATGGAGCTGTAGATGTTTTTGTTTTTACACTACAGAGGGAAGCAAATCAGCTTCTGTTGTTATTTGCAGTGACTCATAAGGCACCAGATTATAAACTGCCATGCATGTGCCCAAAGTTTCCACCATCATCATCATCATCAGCAGCAGCAGCAGCAGTAGTGGCAGTGTGTTCACGCCTCACTGTGGTGGCGTGGTGTGAGCAGAGGGGTGAAGACTCAAACCACACCTTCCTCTGATATTCACACCTCTCTTTAAGTGAGCATTTACTGAATATATCTCCCTTACATGTATTAATATCACATTGCTTTATCCACCACTGCCTTTAAGTGTTTTTAATTTAAACAAATGTGCTGCAGCAGGTAAAATGTGCCACAGGGACAGAGACAAAGAAGCTCCACATGGGTCCATCGCATGCACACACTATGCATTATTCTACATGATGAAATAGAAATGATTATCATATGATAGTGAGTGTTGCTCCAGACTGGATGGTCACATATATCAATAACTCACCTACTGACACCTCCTGAGCAAAAGCGAGGGAGATGAGAAACAAAGGCAGCCCCACCGCCAAAAACGTCACTATCTTATCCACCGCCAGCTCCAGCCGCAGCCCTTTGTATTTATTCTCCGTGGAGGGGTCCTTCAACAAAAAGTCGGAGAAAACGTACTCGGTGGCGACGTGCGCAATCGCCATGACGGACGGGAACAAAAAGCCGGTGTTGTCTAATTGACGGAAGTCTCTTTTCAATTAGACAAAGCGAACTGCACCTGAGGTCTAAATTAATAATTTAAACAAATTCCTGCACAGTATAAATGTGAAAAATGTATAAAAGCACGGAGCCGTTATTGTTGACCCATCTCCATTCACTACTGGGGCTGAAGGTTGGACCTGTCCCGTTACTCTGAGCCAGACATCACAGGCAACAGGGGGGAGCTAGACAACTGTCCGCCGCTAGAGGGCGCTGATTAGCCGTGCAGTGCACCTGCCTGGCAACATGAGCCTGTTAAACCATACATGATGACACACTACTGCTTTAGGTACAATAACATGATTTTCATTTATTTCTGTACACAGGAAAGGCATGACAAGTGACATTGTGTGTCTAGATATTCCATGTTCGCCAGTCCAATCTCTCAAAGGCACAATATCTGCCATGCATTTGAAGCTTTAATCTTTACAGACAACATCTTTTGATGCATTGAGAGAGGCGTGGCAGGTGGATCTGAACATACAATATACAGATGCTGAGTGGTCAGATATATTCTTGAGATTACACACCTCATCAATATGTGCCAGGCACGACCTGATTCAATTGAAGTTGGTGCACCGACTTCATCTATAAAGTCACAATCTCAAGGATGTACTCCTCAGCTGATGACTCTTGTAGTAGAAGCAAAAGTTCCCCTGCAACACTGCCCGGGTCTCTCAGTTTACTGGTTCTCCATTTTTAAGCCCTTTCCAAAAATACTTTGAAGAACAATTGATTCAAATCCTCATACAGCAATTTATGGTATTCAGTGTGAAAACAGTCATCTTCCTAAGGTACAGTCAAATTGCATTGCTTATGCCTACCTGTATTTTTGTATACATGTTTTCTTCAATGTTGAAACTAATACAGAAAGTGGGAAAAAAATAACATTGTGTGTTACAGTTAAAACTGGCCTGACTCAGTTAAAAACTGTTTTTCAGCAGGTTCCTGTTATGCAACAAAAACACATTTCAATACAGGATAAAAACACAAACAATCAACACAGGCAAAACAACAAAACAGGCAGCTACGTAGACAATGTAGAGTGGCGGACTTCAGTTGAGTGAGTAAAATGGGATGTGGGATTTAAATCAGTGGTTGCAGATTTGGCCTTCCATCAGATAGTGTTTATATGCGTGTTTGAAATGTGTAGTCAAGGTTATTGCTCTAATGTAATGTGCTCTTAGTGTAAGTGTGACAAAAGGATCTCGGACCATAATTGTTTTTGTAAGGTGGTACAGAAATAAATGCATGTGAAATTGATCAAGTGATGCCTTGCTGTCTTGTGTTATGACTTGGAAGTAGAGCAGTATGTGCAGGATTTGAGTTGTTGTTTAGGATCTGAAAATAGAATTTAATGACTAGATTATCTGTATAGTTTTTCTAAAATAAATTCAAGGCGTTAGAGTGTGAGAGTGCAGTGAAGAGTCCAAAGGGGGAGGTTACCATGGATCTTGTAAGCTCTGTTGTAGAGTCTTGCTATTGGTTCAGTGGTTTCCTTTGTGGTGAGAGACCATATGGGGAGACAGTAGGATGTTGTCGAGAGAATGATTGCATATAGGTGTGTGTGAAACAGCAGGGGTGAGATATGGTCTGATCTTGCTGTAGACGTACAATTTCTGGTTGAGCTTCTGATAGGGCATAAACATAGACAGTGCAGGCAGTGCGCTTGAAATACTCAAACTGTACTTAAGTTGAGGAAATGTTACTCTCCACATATATTGACACTTCATTTTACACTTTCACACTATCAATTTATTTTCTCGCCTTATAGATAGATAGATAAATGGTGATTTCTCTGTGCTACAGCACAGCTCTTTGGTCTTTGTGATGTTGAGCTCAAGTGAGTTTTCACTAAATGTTTGGAGCAGGTTGTTGAGTGCCTGCTGGTACTGGTACAAAGCATTGTTGTCAGTCAGGTGAGCCACTAGGCCCATGTCATCTGCATACTTAAAATAAACCATTTAAAAACACCTGTTGTGGTCTGTCCTGCAAAAAAGTCTTTATCCATAAAATCAGCGTCAAGTGGATCTGAAGGCCCAAAACGTGCTACAGCAGGGTGTTTGTGTGTTCAGTGTTAAAAGCAGAAGAGAAGTCCATAAATAAAATCCTAATGTAGAGTGTGCAGAGTCCAGGTGTTTGGTGACAGTGTCTAAAATTGTGAGACTTGCATCCTCCACCCCGTGTTTTGCATTACAGGGCAAACTGGAGTGGATCCAATTTGTCTACTAGCGTGTGTGATAAGAGATCACACACTGCTTTCTCCATACATTTACATGACACAGATGTCAGTGCGACTGGTCTGTAGCCCTTCATGTCCTTGGCTTGTGTCTGTTTGGGGATTGGGATTATGGTGGACTCCTTCCACATGCTGGGGACACCGCCAGAATCCAGAAGCTGCTGGAACAGTCTTGTGAGAACCCCTCTTAGCTGAGTGGCGCAGAAGCACCCTGCCTCTAAGCCTTTCAGGGCCAGAGGCCTTGTGTGAGTTGACTCCGTGCAGGATGGAGGTCACAAGCTGTTCATCAATAGTAAGAGCTCTGTGGGGGAGCTGGGGGTTGGGCAGGGCCAAATGATGGATGTGCTGGAGCTGTTGAACCGGATGAAGAAACTGTTGAGCTGCTCTGTGAAGGAGGTGGTGTCTCGCCTCTAGGACTCTGCCTATCATGATGTTTAGACCCTACCATGCCTCCCTCACATTTCCAGAAGTTAATTTCTGCTCCACCTTGTTCTTGCAGTTGAATTTAGCCAGCTTCCCTCTGAACTCTTTCTCCATATGCTGTTTTAGTAGTACTATTATTTATGAGCTGAACAAATGTTTTATAGACTATTTAGATATGGTACTAGCTGTCATTGTTGTAATTATTACCATTAGTAGGTTAATTGTTGATTTAAATTAGTTTCATTTTGACTTGGATTTTTTTTTACAAATTCATTTTATACCATGAAGTAATGATTAATTATGTGGACTCCAGGAAATTACTAACTACATTATCTGCATAATTAGTACTTTAAGCATAAGGGATGCAAAATGTCTCCCTTTAGAGTAAGGTTAGCCTACTGTTATATTAGAGTGTGAGAGTGTAGTGTCCAAAGTGGGAGGTTACCATGGATCTTGTAAGCTCTGTTGTATAGTCTTGCTATTGGTTCAGTGGTTTCCTTTGTGGTGAGGGACCATATGGGGAGACAGTAGGATGTTGTCGAGACAATGATTGCATGTAGGTGTGTGTCTGAGACAGCAGGAGTGAGATATGCTCTGATCTTGTTGTAGACGTACAATTTCTGGTTGAGCTTCTGATGGGGTGTAAACATAGACAGCGCAGGCAGTGCACTTTCACTGAGGCCCCTGGGGTGGAGGGGCCCGTAGAGAGCAGGTGATCCAGATTGCCACCTTGGAAATATACCTGTGTTCAAAGATAGATGATAAAAAATGAATATTATTAATATAAAAATGGTGCCATTTGCTATATATGTCCTCAAAAAAGGCAGACCTATCTGCGTCATGGTTTTCTATGTTTTTTCTATATAAGCTATAAAATCTATAAATATAATATAGCTACTATTATATTATTGGTATCAAGCATTTTAATTAAGCAGTTAATCAAAACTTAGATGAATGTTACTAATGTAGCCTATATACTACTGGAAGAGTAATTGTTACCTTGGCAGTGACTATTGGGAATCCAAATGAATAAATATTGATACTACTAAAATCACTTAAGGAATGGCATAACCTCCAGTTCAGAGAAAGTAAAGACTATTGACTTGGGGACTAATAGAAACAAATGATAACTTTAAAGGCCTTCTACTTTTTACAACTGTGATTGACTTTATTTATTTATACTTAACAAATGCAGAACATTATGACATTTAGCGATAATACTGATACTGTATATGCTAATTTAGTGGACCAAATGTATGCACCCAAAATGATTTCAAAATGTATTAATTTTTTTTAGGTTCGTTCTTACATTGCAATTAGGACTATACTACATCATCATCATCATCATTATTATTATTATTATTATTATTGTCATCATTTATTTTATTTTTTTAATGTAACTAATTGTAACGTGTAACGTGCCAGCTCTGGAGTATTATCACATTTATTAACCACCAGACATAACAACAACATTTGCGACAACTGTGCGTGCTTTCTGGCAAAAGTAGGTTACAAAAAGGTGCGGGGTTTCCAGGGAGACAGGGGGAACGGTTCTTTGAGGAAGATGTGAAAGACGAGACCTTCTCAGGTAACGCTAGCTTACAAACTATTTAGGAAAATTGTCGCCATTAATTCACCAAACAATGTTGGTTTGTACCGTGAAGACAATGGACGGCAGCGTGTGGGGGGAGCAGCTGTGTGGTGTAAGCTAATAAACGGTGCCTGTTGTTAGCTTCAGTCCGACGCTAGCTCAAACATTTCACTTTAAATTAGCCCATTTCAAGTAGTTAGCAGGCTAGCTAGCTACGTAGCCAATTCCGCCACAAACAACGGTTAGTGTACTCGGAGAAACGGTATTAACGTGAGGTAGCGTTAGCTTGTAGCTAATTTAACGTCGGTTGGGTTAACATTACAGGACTCGCTGTGGTGACACGCAGCTGTGGCGATAGTTAGCTTCAGATAAACGGTCAAAACTTGCCAAGTGTGTACAGGTTGTGTACACAGACATGCCTCCTTTGTCAACTTAAACTGTCGTAACGGAGCTAAGTTGATTCAAACGCACCTATGCTGCCATAAATGAGGACTTAACAGAGGTTTTAGTGTCTTACTTATTGTCAACAAGACACACCGACGCACCGGGTCACTGAGAGGTGATGTAACCGCATCCGACTAACTTAGTGCACACTTTCGTTTCTTCTTCACAGGAAAGCATGAGAGAGAAGAGAGATGAAAGTATGGTGAAAGACCTCTCCGGGTTGTATGATGGAAGGACTGGGAAAGGAGAGATCCATATCCAGCTCTAAACCCTTCCCATGGCTCAGTCACCCCAAAACAGAGGCCTCAACCCTGCTATGGAAACTCAAAGACTGCTTCCCCACCAATGAGACAACCTCCCCTCATCACACAGATAAAGAAGTAGGTTTTCAGCTGTGAACAGTCCAGGTATCTCACATAGGTTAGGGGAGATAGAGGAATTTAAATCAATCAGCGTTGTGAACTCCTG